CAACCTTAAACAATCCAATTAAAGTGAACCGCCAAATTTTATCGTAACATGGAGCATTGGTGTAAAAAATTCTTAAGATTATTTGACAATCTATTTTCATTTCTCATTATAAAATTTTAAAATAAAAAAATGGTTGAAATCAAGAAGATCTATAAACATATGAAAAATCTTGAAAATGAACTGTTTAGATAATGTGTTGCAAGATGTACTATTTCTAGGACTCAAATTTCTTTCCTTTTTTCATGTTTATACATCTCAATGTTAAGATGAAGTGATCAATTAGAGGGTTTTTTAACTTTAATACAATTTTTTTCGATGGATTTTTGAGATGCATATGTAATTCTACATTTTAAGGTTGCAACCTTATATAAACTTTTTCCATATATATATATATATATATAGCTTGAAGCTGAGATGATCGATTTGAAGGTTTCATAACACTCTTTTTTTGCTCTATAGTATAAGTTTATAACCTTATACTAGCTTTGTCCTAGAATTAAAGGATTAGGATTTAAAACAATTTTCTTAATTTCCAAGACTTGTATAAACTTCAATACAAATGCCAAAAGATAATCTACTCCTGCAAGAGGAGAATATCCATTTACTCCTTTGGGTAAAACTCCACCTAAGAATTAATTTTAGGACCTTATAATTTGAGAATACAATCGCTTCAGCTCATAGTTTAACCTCAATATTTTTTTTTAGTTGTACTCTCTATGCACTCGAATAAAATAATGTCTCGAGATTCAATGGGACCATCCAATTTTTAGATGGTGAAAATTAAGTGTTCGACACACTTAAATTTCGTTTTTTTCCTGTTGAGGAAAATTATCTAGTAATGCTTAGGTAGTTCCCAGAGTTTCATATTGAAAAAAATTTCTCCTAAGTAGATCTTTTGACAGAGTAGAAACAAACCATACTCCCGAGAAAGCATGTTACATACGGACATGGTTTCTACAAGTCCATATAGAAATGAGTCGACTCTTAAAAATCTACTTTTGAGATGGATTTTCAGACCCAAATTTTGTTAAGGATATGTAATCTCGAACATCGAGATCAGGAATATAAATAAATAAATAATTTTTAAGAAATAAAAATAATGATTTCATAAAAAAAATATTTGGATTGTTATTTTCAATTGTTTTTAAATGGACTACCTATGTGCGTCCATCTCTCAAATAAATGCTTTATACCTTAAGACGGCATATTGTAGAAATGCGTTGCAGCCCGCATCAAACAATTTTCCTATACTTTTCTTTTTTTTGTTGACGATAAGTACACGGAATCTATTGGGAAACCAACCCATATTTGCATCCCAATTCCTTCACATTACCCCAAACAAATTCTCTCTCTCAACCCATTTTTGCATCCCAATTACTTCACAATACGCAAATTCTCTCTCTCTCTCTCGCTCTCTCTCATCAATGTTCTAGTGCAATTAGGACAAAAGTCCAAGCACTTGTACAGTAGTTGGTCCCCCTCTTCCCTAGTCTCCATCTAATACAAGACACTTTTCACAAGAAGAAAAAAAAAAAAGTCATTTTTGTCAAAAATATATAATTTTATAATTTTTAATTTAAAAAATTTTAAATAATTATTTATTATATATTAAAAAAATTTATATAAGGTTGCAACCTTAAAATGTAGAACTAAAGCTGCACATAAAAAATCCATGGAAAAAGGTTATTTTGATGTAGAAAAACTCTCTAATTGATTATCTCGACATCAAGATGTATGAATCTGAAAAATAAATAAAAAATTGAGTCTTAGAAATAGTGCATCTTGCAATACACTTTCTAGACCGTCCATTTTCAAGACTTTGATATGTTTATAGATCTACTTGTTTTTAACAATTTTTGGAGTTTAAAATTTTATAATTAGATGTGAAAAAAAAAAAAAGATAATCCTAATACTTTTTTATGCCAAAATTATATATTATGATAAAATTTAGAGGTACGCCTTAATTGGATTGTTTAAGGTTGCAACTTTATAGAAACCACATACCTTGCAAACAAAAGGTTATCCATCAATTTTAAGGAATTGAATACTGTGAGGGCTTTTATTTTTTATACAACGAAGTTACAATTATTTTTAGCCATAAAAGGTGAAATCTAATTGATTAAAGTGTCATAGTATTCGAGATATTTTATTTTGAACTTTCTGCCTGAAGTATCATCAGTCACCCAATTTCACATTCAATGGTCAATAATAATTGTAGCCTTTTTGTATAAAAAACAAATAAAAAATTATTTCATGCGAGCAGAACTGCATTTCTACAATATGCGGTTCAGAGATATAAAGCATCCATCTTAAAGATGGATGCAAATAGGAAGTCCATCTGATAAAAAGTGTAACTAACGGTCCAAATGTTTTTTTTAATATAATTATTATTTTTAGTTCTTAAATTGTTATTATTATTTTTCATATTCATGATCTCAATGTTAAAGATTGTATATTCTCTAAAAATTAGACCAAAATATATTTAAAAATATATTTATTGCCAAGCCTGTATTTCTACAATATGCGGGCTGGCTGCATAGAAACCGCGCCTCATTGCATATAGGATTGGGTTTCTATGCGGCCAAGCTTGCATATGTAGAAATGTGGGCTTATTAATAAATCCATTTTTGAGAATAAATTTTCCACATAATTTTTAAGTACTTGTAATCTCTAACATGGAGATCATGAATATGCATAAATAAATAAATTTTTAAAACTAAAAATAATAATTCTAATAAAAAAACATTTGGACTTCAGCTTCCACTATTTTTAGACGAAACACCTACTTGCATCCATTTTTAAGATGGATGCTTTATACCTTTTGGAACGTATATGTTGTCATGCGGTCCAGCCCGCATGAAACAATTTTCCTTGCATATATTTCCTAAGGGAAATTTGCATGAGATTCTCTAGGAGATTTATTATTTAACATTTTACACATTTGTTGCTCATGATCATGTGTGATTTGTTGGGTATTTTGAAATAAAATCACATTATATATAGATCAGATGTTTAATAGTTAATCTCTCGTGAGTAATTTCTCATATATAATGTGATAAATTCTTGTTTTAGAAATGGGGTTAAAGATTTAGAATGTCTCTTTTAGAAATGCTTGGTGGATGTTTGGGTTGTTACTTTTAAATATTAGGGCAATATCGTTATTTTCGAAATAAAATAATTATCGGAAGTTAAGACATCTTTAACTTCCTTTTGGACCAATGGGAACTCTTAGGGTTCCCGCCAAACAGACGTCAAACATATTCGCCCCTACTTTCTTAACAAAATTCGTCGTATGCCCCAAAGCTATTTTGAAAATGTCCAAAATATAAAGGGTGTAGTTTGTATAGAGGCGAAGCTCTAAACAATCAAAGTAAAGAGAACTTTTAAATAGTATTGAGAAATGTGGTTTTAATACTGAAAATCTTTGTGAAAATCTTAAAATATGTTTTCATCTCTAATTATAAAATTTTAAGCTTAAAAATAGTGTAGATCAAACATAGCTATGAAAATTTGAAAATCTTGAATATTGATCGTCAAAAAATGTATTGCAAGATACACTATTTTCAAATATTTTAAATCTATTTTTTTTCTCATGTCCATGTAAATTGATGTGGAGATGATCAATTTGAGGATATTTAGGAATCAAAACAACCTCTTCTAATGAAAGTTTTGATATGTGCTTTAATTTGATTGTTTAGAGCCTCATCTCTATATAAATTTATTCCAAATATAAAAATGACAAATAGGCACTAGTTTGTTCTTTTTCTTCTTCTTTTTTTGGTGTGTGAAAATGGAAAAATTAATCCACAATGTGATAATTCTCTAGGTTAGAGCCAATTCTAAATACTGTTTTAAAACCCACTTATCTAGATCGGGAATCGTCGATCCAAATTAGGAATAGGCTTGGACCAATCTAGGAAGGTATTTTTAAGCTTGTCTAATTTTGTTTAGTGTCTTCCCATAAAAACCTATTTTCTATTATTCTATTTTTGTTATTTTTAATATTCTTTCATATCGTCGATTATAACCGATCGGGAACAACAATTCGGCACGAATAGTGGGGTGGACGATCCACCTTATAGATCCGGGTTTTGAAACACTGATCCTAAGGGCTTCTTGCTCTCGGTCTTGTCAGGATGCAATTGTGAGAAACAATCTTTCTCTGTATTCAATGAATTGAATTAGACTATAATACAATCGTAGATTTATTGAGAGGGTATAAGCAATACTTGTTAAAACTATAGGATATTGTTTCTATATGGGTATAGTATACAATTAGACACTGACAAATCTCGATGTTCAATTGCCATATTTGTTCGCACTCCACCATAAACTCGAGATAATTTGAAACGAATTATCTTGAGTTTGGAAACAAACTGTGAGAAACGATTCGGGGGATGAGACTTAATAAATAAGTCGGCGAGTTGTGTTATGGTGGGCACATATGGTAAAGAAATTGTG